GCTGAAGTTGTGGAACAGTTGAGACTCATCAATCAGTTCTCTAGCCACCAAACATGGTTAAGGAGTGATTAGTTTTAGTGCTTAGGCTAGTTTATACCACCCAATTAGTGTTTGTTGTAGACTTAGGTCTAGTGTTTAGTGAGGTTTGCATACTTCTTGTTACCCGATGCTTGCACATCCAAGCTTGTACTCCGAGGGGCTGGTGACCTTGCGAGATTACACCAAGCTTGCACAGTCATTACCTTCGATGATTTTTTGTTTTGATTTTTCCTTAAAAACTGAGCTGGCATTTTTTATTTTCTTCTCATAGTAAAACTTGTGGGAAGTTAAAAAGACAGTAGAATCAGCAAAAACTTCGTACCATCGTTAAAAACTATACTAGGCGAAAGAACAAGGAAGATATATTTACCAGGGAATAGTACGATCTTCTGGGTTGGATCGCACGGTGACCAAGACCTGCTGCAGTCAGCCCATCCTTGTTGGTAATGCCTATTTCCACAGTCATTACCTGCAGCAGTAAACTGAAGATCCGTGGAAATCCGTGTTTGGCAGCTAAATGCAGCGCCGTGTTTCCATCAGTGTCTGTCGCATTTACCAGCATCGCGAACTTATCGTCCTGGCAGATGTGGCGAACCACAGTTTCCTTATTATGTTCAACAGCACAATGAAGCAAATTTCTTCCTCTATCATCAACCAGTTCATAGTAGTCCGGGCATTTCTTTATGAGCTCATCGATAATCCTTGAATTCCCCATCATAGCAGCAGTATGCACTGGAAATAAGCCATGGTTATCTGGAATGCGAGCTTGTTCAGATGTATGACCATCTAGGCAGGGGCGGATCTAGGGGGGGGGCTCCAGCCCCCCCTACAACTGGTGCATCAATGGAAACATGGGGAGGGTGAGGGAGAAGAAGAGGTGAAGGAAAGAAGAAAAATGGAGAGAGATAGGAAGAAGAAGAGACCAGCCCCCCCTTCAATCCTGTTTCGCATCCGTCACTGCATCTAGGAATAACTCAACAACATCGAGTCTTTCATACAGTACTGCATATTGAATAGCTGTTCTTCCTGATGAATCAACTTCAGTAAGCAAACTTAGACCTACGGGTTCCCATTTCAGTATTTCTCGACTTGCTGGTTGAACATGAGCATCTCGTTACCAAGTGTGGGATTTCAAATTGCAATTTACTAAACTAAGAAGCAGAACTTGAAATGAAACCCAAATACAAATAAATGTTTGTACCTCGGATACTAGCTGCTGCTGCAACGTGCAAAGCAGTCCGTCCCTCCGGACCAGAAAAAGACGCTGGCGATGGCGTTCCATCTTGCGACGGCCGTAGAAGCGATTGGACCATCTGCAGCGACTTAATTGAGGCCGCCAAGTACAACGGTGAGAAGCCGCCATCAGTTGCGAGAGAAGCCAGCTCGGGAGCCACTTCCATCAGCAGATCCACCACCCTGGCATGGCCGTGCCGGACAGCTTCATACAGGGTGGTGGCGCCCGTCTGGTTCCTCGCGCGCAGAGCAATCTCCGCGTCCGCTCCAGTAGTCCGCATCGTGGCCAAGAGACTGGCGGCCACGTCCCTGCTCCCGGACTTCGCCGCACAGTGCAGCAGTGTGTCCAGGCACTTGTTGCGCGTGGCGACGAGCGAGGGCGCCCTGTCGCAGATGAGTGCCGCGAGCTCGGCGTGGCCGCGGCTGGCGGCAAGATGCAACGCCGTATTCCCGTTGCTGGTCACGCCGAGGAGGCAGCTCGTTCCCGGCGGCACCGGCGCCACTGCGCCGGGTGCCACCGCGGCTAATTCGTAAATGATCGTAAATTTTCAGCCGGTAACAGTGTTTTTCTCTCACACCAAACTAGCCAGCAGTAAATAATACACGATACGATACGGTCTCCCGAACATGCTGGTATCGCCACTTGGCCAGCTGTTTGCTCTTCTCTTCGCAGTAGCTCTGCCAAACCGACCGTGTCACCGGCGGTGAGCACCCGGAGCAATTCTAAGCCCAGCCCCATCCGGTGAGGCCCGAATGCAACCATTTCCGCCATGATTGATTAGGAAGTCCGGATCTGCGAATGGTATATTTAACAAGATTGCTTAATGGAAGGTCTCGTGATGGTCAAAGAATGAATTGGGTGCTTAATTTTAATTCTTAATCCGCTTATTAAAATAAGACGACCACGACCACAAAAAACTATAAACTATCCTGTTAAGATGTGCACTTAAGGTTTTTATAGTATGATCTAACTTGCCATTAGTCAACATCGTATACACTACGAAACTTCTCTAAACTTGGAGGGGTCTCCTTGTCCTATACACAGTGATACAACGACGCTGCTCCAAGGTAGGAGGGTAGGTGCCTGGTGGGCCTCCAATGTTCTCACCGGAAGGTTACAACAGCTTAGCATATAAGGGTGTGTTTGGCTGGTATTAAAGTCGGCTGATAAGCCAACTGAAGCTGATTTGTTATGAGAGAAAAATATTATTTAATTGGAAGATAAGGTGGTGTGAGATGACCATGTCTCTTTTTTGTTGGATGGGATTAAATCATTTTATGTTTGGTTGAGAAGGGATAAGACGAACCCGTTTTTCATTTTGGTCCGGACACATCAAAAGTGGGATCAGCTACTGACAGATAGGGCTCATTCGTCAGTTTTTTTTAAGGAGGTCGCTCAAGAAGGTTAGTTAATGCCGCTCATATATTTTTTTGCATGAGTGCTTCTCAATTTGAGGCAAGACTAGATCTAGGGTTTCATGGTTCTGTTTTGAGAGAGAGAGAGAGAGAGTGGTAATAGTTTTAGTCTAGGGTTTCATGGTTGTCTAAAAAAATTTAGATTAGTAATGCCTCTCATATCTCTTTTTATGGGTAACAATCTATGTGACTGATGCACATGTTTCTCTATTACATGTATCACTATTAAAGAATTATTATATCTATTTCTCTATTACGTACGCCATGACATCTATACTAATCTTATAATTAATTTTTCCACAAAAAAGAGTCAACGCTAAATCTCAAATTCTTAGAACATCTTCAACAGACTATCTAAACATATCCCCTACTCTATATTTGAGAAATGGAGTAAAAAAAAGATCTCCAACAAACTATCTATTTGGCTCCTAGATTAATTGGCCACCCAAATCCTCACTGCCACTACCCATTTCCACGGAAGGGGCCTCTACTTTTCCTTTCTTTTGGTTTCCCACCCGCCATGCCTGCCTCCATGCCTCTGCATAGCCATTCGCACGCGCCGCCGGCTCCCGACCCGATTCCTTCCCACGTGACACCTTCTCCCCGCTTGATGCCTCTTTCACGCTCGACACCACATCTACCCCGTCGCCTAGTACCTTCCCGCCCGATCCCCCCTCCCCCGCACGATACCTCCTTCCTGCCTAGAGCCTAGTCACCGGCTAAATCAGCCGTCTCTTCCTGTGTGTGCTGTACTCTCTACATTCCTAGGAGACGGGAAAGATGGGGAAAGAAAAAGAAAGAAGAGCAAGGTTCTAGGTGAGAAAGTGCAAGAGAGAGAAAGTTTTGGAAGGGCTGAAGTGATTTAGAAATAATTTGGGTTCTAATAAATAAAGGAGCCATGTTTATATAGTACTGTTGGAGATAACAACAAAAAGTAGGGCCTTAGAAAACAGGAGCTACCTAAACAGGCAAGTATGGACCTGATTTAGGTAGTATATTGTTAGATATGCTCTAGAATTTACCATTTTAATCGGGGAAAGTAAAACAAAAATATCATCCTGCTTGTTGACAAAATACCTACAATGAACTATCGTTACTGAACTCATCTAGGCCCATATTTTGCATTTAGAGTTTTGATTGATTAATAAACACAAGTGTTTGTGAGTAACCATATTGCAGATTTAGAGTTTGGACGATCAATAAACACAAGTGTTTGTGACTAATGTGTATTTTGTAGAGGATCAATCAGTTTTAGTTAGTCGCATTGGATACCATATGGATGTTCTTGGCCCCATATGTGATTTCAAGTGTGAATGCATTGTTTTTGTTCTTGGCTCCGGATACACTTGATATAGAGTTTAGGCCTTTTGTGTTTAGTCGTTGTCTGCACTATTAAAGGGTCGAAACTAGCAGCTTGATGGAAGTTGGAGTTGAGATCATTCGCATGCACATATTGATACACTTTTACCAAGTCAGCATAAGAGTGGTCCTAGTTTTAATAAGTCTAGGATTTAAGAAAAACTAGAATTAAACGAGTAAGGAAGAGCTGCAGTTTATGGCCCACTCAATTCGGTTTGCTGCTTGCCCTCCATTCCAAATTATAAGGGCCTATTTGGGACTATGGTTGTTGTCGACCACGCTGTGCGTTACGTTTATCGTAGCTCTCGCACAACGGTACAAAAAAACACAGGCGCTAGTTCATTTCTGCGGACCCGGTACCATGTGCGCGAAAAAGAATCATCGTACCGCGGGAACATTTGGCGCGATTCTCAGCTTCTTTTCACCGCCACCGCAGGGAACGCGGTTCCCAACCGTTCGGCTGGCAGAATTTTAGCTGAAACTGGCTGAATTGTTGTGAGAGAAAAATACTATTCCGGTTGAAAAAAAAAGCCGAACAAACCGAATATAGAGTAAGCCGAACGGGACCAAGTCACTTTGATTTTTTTGATACATCTATTTTACTATGTATATGTCGGGATACATGACAAAATAAATATACCTAAAAAAATAAAAGCTAATTTATAATTTGAAACGGATGGAGTATGTACTAGATTAAAAGACGATAAAACAGGTGCACTCATGGTGTAATACTTTTGGATGAAGTTATCAGCCTGTTCGCTTGTTGGTTTCAACCAGCTCAAATCAGCCAGTTAACAGTATTTTTCTCTCACAATAAACCAGCACCAGCCAGTCCAAACCAGCCCAGAAACCAACCAGCGAACATGCCCTATATATTTTTGCGACTAGATGGCAGTAACATTTCAGAATTCTAATGCATACTGCAGATTGACAGACTGTATAGTTGACATCGCTCAGTAGTTTGGCAAACTAATATCCAGTGCGATTGCCGCCGCGAAGGCGGCGGCGATGAGCACAACAAGCAATGTGCCTCCAAGATATTGGAACAAAAAGCTTGCCATGAAAAGTTGGGCCAATTGTATCAGGCTCGACGGCCGTCTGTGTATGTTGACAAGTCCCCGCCATCCCGCTCGCCGCCACACCGTCCTCGCCAGCCCAAGTTGCAAGGGAATCCAGACGTCAGGGAAGCAGAAGAGCAACGGAGCCAGAGACGCCACGTACACGAAGACAATCAGCCCGCGGTTGGCGTCGCCGAGCACCAGGTGAAACCCGAAGGCAAACGCAGCGATCATGCATCGCACTGCTAGCGGCATGAACCTAGAAGCCAGCACTTTGTACCAGATCCGATGGCTCAGTGGATTCTCTCTCGCGCCGCCGTATATAAGGAAGGAGGTTGCCATGATGGAGCATAGGAAGGCCATGATGGACGACACCACGAACGCTCTGAACGCGAACCGCCTCGCCAGGATCGCCGTCCCGGCGCTCGGGCGATCGTCGGCGACGAAACCGCCCGGCACGGTGAAAGCTGCCGCGAATGCCACGGTGGCGATGAGGACTGATCCAATCGTGCCGTTTCTCAGCATGACATGCTCTTCGTCGTCAGAAGCTCCTTCTTCGGTTGGGTTCGGGTCTGCCTGCTGATGAAGAGGGTGGAGCCGTCGATCTGGAGTAATGCATGTTCCCAGTCCCAGCCAGCACAGACAATTCGACACGATAAAATGTGTATCCTGCAGACCAAAAGAAAAATAAACTAGTTTTTTTAGTACATTTCATGTAGAAAGGGATGGGGTCATGGCGTCATGCCGATGTTATACAAAGCTGCATTTCCCTTTCGATACCAACTACCAAGCGATTGTTTACAAATGGAAACTACTAGTAGTATTGAAGAAAAGCTCCAACATGTTGACAGTTTCCCTTATAATGATTTATAAACAACACAAGTAGTGATTTTAGTTTGGTAGTAGACATAATAGATCGACGTCAACACCACCACATATATAACAGCTACCGTCCAAACTAAAAGCCAGAATTTTTAGCTGCCTAGTTTGACACTATTTCTCTCTCCCCGAGCTCCCCCCAACGGGCGACTCGGGGGGCGCTCGTGCAGCCGTTGCTAGAGCCCCCCTCCGGCTGCCATCGCCACCCTCAGCTGCAGTGGCGGCGGCCCGCGGCACCCTAAAAAACGGGCAATCATCCGCAATCCTCAATTCCTACCCTGTAGCTTCCTCTACCACCCCTCCTCCCCCCCTCCTTCAACTCTGGCGATTCGTGTGGCTGGCGGGGCGGATCCGGGACCTCCATGGCCGCATCCTGCGCCTCCCTCTCCGGATCCGGTGGTTTGGCGACGTCCGGCGAGGGGGTGGCCGCACTCTCCCGTCCCGATGAGCGCGGGCTGCTGCAGGCGGGTTCGATGCCTGGTGACCATTGGGCGGTCTCACTGGCGGCGGCACTACTGGCAAAGACGGTTGCCTCCGGATCTCACGCGTCTCGTGGGTGGCGCCGTTGGCCGGCTCGGCGGATCTCGGTCCTGGCAGCTGCGAGTGGGGCGGCGGTGGCCAACTGGGCGGGGGATGTCGCCGCTGGCGGCTGGTGGCGGATTTGGCGTTTGGTGCCGGGCCTTGCGGTGGGCTTAAATCCTTTCGCCACAGTCTCGTCGCCGCTAGATGCGTGGCGGCAGCCCGGCTTGGCGCCCCTAGGCGCAGCAGCCTCCCCTTTCTGTGGTGTGGAGAAACCATGCTTGGGTGCACACCTGCCCGCGGCTTTGGGCGGGGCGGTGGCGGTGGCGGTCGTTATGCGCATCATTCTCCTTCTCGGCGTCGCCGAAGCTTACGCTCACCACGTCGGGATTGTTCTGGGATGAAAGTCGGTGTGCTTCTATCAACGACGTTGGTGTCCGCGGACGTCCGTTCCCTTTTGAAGGCGTCGTTGGAGGGCTCTCGCTGCCGTGCTTACGCTCCGTCCGCCTCCACGGCTGCGGCGATAAGCTACACTACACTACCGCTTTGCTCCTCACGTGCGTTCGTTGGAGGTCTCTCCTTATTGTATTGTGCCTGTGTGTGCCTCTTTCTACTCTTCGCATCGATGCGCTTGCCGCCTCAAAGAGATGTTCTCGCTGCTGCGATCGCTTTCATTTGGTCACTGGCGACTACCGGTCGTTGTTGATGTTAAAAGCCAGAGTCGCACAGTTCTGATGGCTACCCGGTCATTTGTTGATGTTGCCGCTGCGATCGCTTTCGGTTCACAACGACTACACCCCGGTCATTGTTGGAGTTGCCGATGCTGTCATTCGGTTGATCACAACGGCTACCTAGTCGCTGTCGTCGTTGTTATCTTGGTTCTTTCGGTGGATGCTTTGCCACCGCGGTTTTGTCTTTTGAGTGGGTAGCCTTTGCATTGAATTTTTTTCTATAGGTTTAGTCGGTTAAGTATGTGATGAAGGGTCCTCTCCCTTCCGCTTTTCTTGCTTGTTTTCTTGTTTTCTTATATTGGGTGTTTGGGGTCTTGGTAATCCTGGGATTACCGGGCTGTTTAACAACCTCTACTTCCTCTAATAAAAATCGGGCTATATGCCCGATCGGAAAAAAAAAAGCTAGATTTTCAAATGGGTCAGATAAACTTACCAGAAAGTAGCACCATCTTGCTGGTGTTATTGCACGGTTAGCAAGATCTTGAACACTTAGGCCATCCTTGTTGGCAATGCCTATTTCCACACTCATATTTCGCAACAGCGTACTGACGATCCGCGGAAACCCGTATTTTACAGCCAAATGGAGTGGCGTGTTCCCTTCATAATCCGTTGCGTTCAACAGCATAGCAAAGGTGTCATTCTGGCAGATGTGCTGGACCACCCTGTCCTGATTATGCTCAACTGCACAATGGAGAAAATTTCTTCCTTGGTCATCGACCAATTCGTAGTAGTCAGGGCATTTCTTCACGAGCTCATCAAGGATCCGTGTGCTCCCCGCGATGGCAGCAGCGTGCACCGGAAATGAGCCATGGCTGTCGGAAATGCGAGTTTGGTCTATGGATGTATGGACTTCGAGGAACAGCTCAACAACATCCAGATGTCCATGCAGTATTGCGAAATGAAGAGGGGTTCTCCCTGACGAATCAGCTCTGGTAAGCAGAGTTGGACCAACCGGCTCCCAGTTCAGTATTTCTTGAGCCATATCTGGTTGAGGATTGGCAATTTGTCACCAATTGACGGATCAGAAATTGCAATTTCCACAATGTTGGAGACGAACTTGTTTGAAATAAACAAAAGAAAAAAAGAAAATGCAAATAGCCAAATACTGAGTCCAAAATTTGTAGAAGTAAACAGTCAGTTAAACTGGAACTTTGAATTCTATCTGTACCCAGTTTTCAGTCGTACCTTTGCTAAAAGTTGCCGCAGCGTGCAAAGCAGTCCGTCCATGGCGACCAGCAAATGAGGCCGGCGACGGCGTTCCGTCAGCCGCCGGACGAAGCAGCAGCCGGACCATCTGCTCCGACCGAGTCTCTGCCGCCAGGTACAGGGGCGAGACACCATCGTCGGTCGCCACCGACGCCAGCTCGGGAGCTTCGGCCATCAAGAGATCCACCACCCCGGCACGGCCCAGCCGGACGGCTTCGTGCAGGGCAGTGGCGCCCAGGCGGTTCCTCGCCCGCAGCGCCGCCGCCTCGTCCGCTCCACCGGCGGCGGACCGCATCCTGGACAGGAGGCAGGCCGCCACGCCCCTGCTCCCGGCCTTCGCCGCGCAGAGCAGCGGCGTGTCGAGGCCCCTGTTGCGCGCGGCGACGAGCGAGGGCGCGCTCTCGCAGACGAACGCGGCGAGCTCGGCGTGCCCGCGGCTGGCGACAAGGTGCAGCGCGGTGTTCCCGTTGATCGTCACGCCGAGGAGGCTTCCCGTTCCCGTTCCCGCGCCCGGTGATGACGTGCCGTTGACTTTAATCGCGACGTGGCCGTCCGCCCTTTGCGTGCGGCCTTCGCCGCTCAGCACCTCCTTCAATCGGGAAACGTCGCCGATGGTGAGCACTCGCACCAGCTCCGTGCCCAGCGGCATGTGCTCGGGCCCAAATTCCACCGGTGCGGCGAGAGCTCCCGACATGATTCGCTAGGAGCTGAGCTCTTGGCGGCAACTGCAAAGTTGTTTGTTATTACTGTACTACGTACAGTACAGTGTTCAGTAGTGTTTGTTTCTTCTTGTAGCTGACTAGCTGTGTCCCTTTGTGCTCAAGCGTCAAAACTTTACTAGCGCTTGCAAGGGTTTTCCCTTTTTTAGGGTTTCGGAAAACTAACATTTTGATCCCGGTTTTAGAAAACAACATTGCAATTTTACCGATCTGAGCAGCACCCACCACTCTTTTGCCACTGGACCCACATTTCATAGAGGAATCCACGCGCATCATTGACTCAAGTAGAATTTATCACAGTGGCGACGTTGAAAGTGGTAAAATTGCAAATCGCGTACCACTTTTCAACGAACGAACAATATTTTTTTTCTAGCCAAATTTCAGCGAAACGGAATATTTGTAATTTCACATAGCCATATCCCTAGTTACATTATCGGTTTTCTAACAATAAAGTTGGCATCCTACGCTGTCCAATGTAGGTGAGTATCCAATGGATAGTTACAAGCAATCCATTAGTTCATTTGCGTACCACTGTTTTGTTCTAAAAACCAATATACCTTATTTCAATGAGTTCGTGTAGAGGAACCAAAACGGGAGAATTATCTATTTGGCACCGAAACAAATCAGTGTTTTATATTTGGCACTCGAAAATTTAAACTTTCCTATTTGGCACAAGTTAAAATTTTATTTCTTAAATGGCGCTGCTGTCCATTTTTATTGGTTATCTGTTAGTTAACTGATTTGACCGTTTTTTTTTCTTATGTCCAGTATACCCCTCTGTTAAGCTTTCCCTTCTTCCCGGCTCTGCTGTGCCACTGTGCGAGGGCGACGACTTGACCCGCTTGCGCCAGCCGGCCCCGGGGCCATGATCACGTTCAAGTAATCACGCCCTGATGTAGACTCGTGCGTCCCAAACCCACGTTCCGACGGAAGTCCCCACGGCCACTCGCCCCACCAGCCGCCAAAAAGCGTCTCGTGGCGAACGCCCGCAGTTGTCCCGCACCGAACCGGCACCCGGGCATTGGCGTGTAATCCGCCTTGGTACATAGGGAAGCGACGCGACCCACTTGTTCTGCACCGGCACGGCACCCTTTGGGCACAGCGCACTGCACACTGCGGTTACCATCGCCCCCGCCGAGATAAATGGAATTTTTACATATTTACCATCATGGCGACGTGAGTAGTATAAGAAATACCATATCAGTGACACAGTGTAAGATGTCATCCGTAATAGTGATAAATATGTAAATGCCCCGAGATAAATAAGCGAGGCTGCCGAGGTGGGAGCAGTGTGAGGATGAAGTCGAGACGCGCAAGGCAAAAAAAAGTCGAACACTCTCCGCCCCGGTCGCATGGCCGGGCGCGACCATGTCGCCGTGTGAGCGTCGAACGCTGAGCAGCTGGCATCCGCTTCGTGCTTGCGCGGCTTCGGATGGGCGGCTTGTACATGGTCTGCTAGCCATGGCAGTGGTAGCGCCTTCTCGTCCGGTATGGCAAGAAAGATGGACAAGCGCGGCGGAGAGCTAAGAGTGGGCGAAGGATGGCGAGGAGAAGGAGGAGAGAGATGAGCAGCTTCTTCTTGGTCTTCTCTCTCTCTCTCTCTCTCTCTCTCTCTCTCTCTCTCTCCTCGGCAAGGAGAGGAAGAGAGAGGAGAGCTGCATTGCCTGAGCGCGAGAGAGAAGAGAGAGGCCGGCGGAGGCGCCATTCCGACCTGTGAGCGCCGCCACAATCCGGCTGCTTCGCCCCTTGATCCACCTGGCGAGCTCCGCCCCACCATGGCATTTTGGATCTGTTTTCCGCCATTTGGTGGCAGAGCTCCGTGAGGCCCTTCCGACCTGCAATTTTCACTGAGCTCACCTTCTCATCGGCGAGGAGGTGCCTCGACCTTACATCCACGCTCCTAATCCTGGCGGGTCCTTTGTGGGCGTCAAAACTTTACTAGCGCTTGCAAGGGTTGTCCCTTTGTAGGGTTTCGGAAAACTAACATTTTGATCCCGGTTTTAGAAAACAACATTGCAATTTTACCAATGTGAGCAGCACCCACCGCTTTTTTGCCACTGGACCCACATTTCATAGAGGAATCCGCGCGCGTCATTGACTCAAGTAGAATTCATCACGGTGGCGACGTTGAAAGTGGCATGGACGGAAGGAGAACCACCATTTTTCAACGAAAGCGAGAGGAAGGGGATTTTTTTTTAGCCAAATTTGAGCAAAACGAATAGTTGAGGTAATATCGTCCATAGCCGAAAATCCTTGAATTTACATTATTGGCACCATGTGTTTCTAACAATAAAGTATTCATATCATTTTGTCAATGTAGGTGAGTATCCAATAAATAGTTACAAGCCATTTACAAAAACAAATTTCAAGTTAAATGGCGTAAGAAAGTTTTGTTTTGAGTGCCAAATACAAAACACTGATTTGTTTCAGTGCCAAATAGATAATTCTCCCAAACAAAATTTGCATTAGGGCAGAAGCGATTGAAACCACCATTTTAGCAAAGCAGGCTAGAGCCTAAAGCTGTCATTTATCTCCTGACAAGACTACCATCCAACGTTGGGCACAGCCTAAAGGTCATCTCCAGTGACCAAAGCAAACCAATGCAGGAAATTGACTTGACAAAACTTTATCTTGCTTTGGTCACAGGATATCTGTCAGGGGTTCTCTCCTTCACGATTCAACGTGGATCTGGATCTGGTTTTGGTGAATCTAGAGCTGATGAATCTCAACCAAACAGGCCCTAAACCGGCTTTGACAGAACTTTCTACAAGTCTCAACCTCTTGCTAGAATTCCATAGGGATTCCAAAGGGTCTCATAGAGCCGTTACATTTACAACCATGCCAGATATTCACCTGCGCTGTGACTAAATTGATAAATTCAACCAATTATCTCACCAAAAATGAACAGAATCGTCCAACAGGATTCTGAATAGTGTCAAAACTGAAAATCCAAAGATTGGACGCATGTGTACAGAATTACAGAGATAAGCATACATAACCATGAAACTATTTCGAAGCCTATATAACTGAAATCATTTTCCCCCAAAGGTGTTTCACTAATTAAGTGTAATAGCCGGAACAAAATGGTGCTCTTTTTATCCGTCAGCAACAGCTGTATTGGAGTTTTTGAATGCACCAAGGTTCCTCTTGAGAGACTTGACAGCAGACAAAATTTGCAGCTTCTCTGTGGCTGAACCATCAGGTTTCTGATCATCATTGTTAGTAGCAGCATCGTCAGGTGGTACTGTACCTCCCAGAGACGAACCCTCCAAAGGAGGTTCCCTGCCTGATTTGCCTTCATGTGGCCCTGGCTTCCCAGCTTGCTTTCGCATGAAGGCCACACTCCTATAAAATAACATTCCAGCACGAGTGAACACCAAATCAGAAATATTAAGGAAGTTTCTCACCGTTGTATACAGCACGTACCTCTTGTACTGGGGATCAGTAGGATCCAATGCGAACAAGTGTGACGTAAACATCGGTGAGAACCTCTCATCCTTGCTAAGATCAATATCAGGAAGTTTGTCCTCAGCAAATTCCTCTTTGCTCTTCTTGCCCTTTTTACCCTTTTTATGCTTCAGGTTATAACCCTTTGCACCACTGGCAGTGTCCTGATCACCAGCAACCAAGAGCTCCAACTCTTCTTTGGTTGCTTCTTGTTCCAAATGCTCCTCTGTGGTTTCATCCTTTCCTTTCCTCTTTGCTTTGTCCTTTGCCTTTGCCTTGTGTTTCTTGCTTTTGCTTGGCTTAGGTTCTTCATCAGACTGTTCATCTGCAAAGAAATCATCATCATTCTCATGCTCATCTTCACTGCTGTAGTCGTCATCATCGTCTTCATCCTTTAATCCCCTCTTCCTAGCCTTCCTTTTCTCTTTCATTTTCTCTTGGTGCTTCTCCCAGACGGTCTTCTCCTCATTGTTCTTTCTCTCTAGGATACGTTTACTAAGATCCTCAAGCTCTGTGTTGAATGTAATCTCCATATCCTGGCCATCACTTTGCTCCTCATCAGATTTGTCACCTTGCAGCAGAAGAGCCAACCTCTCCTCTTTTGTTAGCTTCCGTTTGGATCCCCCATTTGGTAGAGATTCGTCCTCAGAATTGTCTACACCTTCATCATCTGACGCACTGCCATCACTAGCTAAATACATGCCAAGCTCATCTAGCTGCATCAGAAAAATAGAAGTAACAAAAGTTGTATATAAGAGTACAAGAAATAAATAATTACAAGGATAAATAGGAACATAAAAAAAACAAAAAACAAGACCTAACCTGATCATCAGTGAACTTTCGCCTCAAGACTTTCTTACGCTCAGGTTCATCATCATCCCAGGTGAGCTTAACTCTGCTATGTTGCAAAGCACGAGTCTCGAAATCAGGTTCCTTGTAATTCGGAGGTGCCTGAAATCATTCAAGTTATTTACAAAACGGAAGCTTCATTTAGCATGACTAGGACCTTGTACATTCATAGAAACCACAAAGTAAGAAAAGCAATGGAAAAGTGATCTTTTTTCTTTTTAAAAAAGGCACTTGTCACTATGCTATTCCAATATTTCGTCACTGCTCAACTAATACTACTATGAAGAAATTGGTTCTGGATACACTCAACAAAGGAAGGTACCTCTGTAGCGACGTCTCGAGCAGGGTGTTTGAACTCCCTAGAGTCAGGAATGAACTGCAAATCAAACACATTTGCTGTTTTCAAGAACTCGGTCCCATCAAGAGTCATGTACAGGTGATTTGCTGTTGCGCTGGAATCAGACACCACAACTGCATAGTAATACCTGCAGAAGGATCAATTGAAGCATGAGAGCAGAAAAACTGTAACCCTTGTATACTAACACTTTAAAATGGAACAAATCGAAAAAAAAAACAATTGACAAAAATAATATGAAAGCAATGCTAAATATGTCAAGGAGACTCCACCATAACTAATCTATTACATGCTTTTGTAGCTATCAGTTTGGAGATGCCAATTTTATATCATTTACAACTCATGGCACAGGAAAAACAAATAACAAAAAAAATCTATCATCAAATGAATGTCACTCCAATTCAACATTAACCTGAGTCTGTTTAGCTCATAAGCACGCAGCTTGTTGTTCTCTTTGTCGGAGTCAACTTCCTCTTCTTCATCATCATCATCATCATCATCAACATCATCGTCAGTGTTCTCTTCATCATCATCCTTGTCATCCTCATCTTCATCACTGTCTTTTTTATCAACATTGGCATTGACCAGAGCAGCTGGGCCCTGTGTTGACTCAATTTCCATGCACTTCAGTCCAAATTCTGATGGATAGATTGAGACTGACAAAACTCGGCCACCCTTTGGGAGGCAAGAAGTCATCACCATATACAGGTCAACTGCCTGTTGAAATAGGGATGAAAAAGCAATAATAGTCATTACATCATCAGTTCATTGCATTCAAATTTACCCATTAAAATTTGCTAGGAAGAACTTTAAAAACACACATAAATGGTAAGGGGCTGTTCAGGCCTTCAGTTTTAGCAACAGACGATTTTCAATTAATTAGATCTGGATTTGGTATCATTCTATCAATCTTACATAGTTACGGTTCAGTATCTCAATTAGCAATTCTGTGCAGCCAGTAGGTAAAATCCTGTTTGATTATCTCCATCCTGATCCTATGTACGATCTTAATTACATAGAACCACCCAAAATAGTGGCCCAACCTTCAAATTTTATGAAGGAAGTTGTGTTCGTTGTCTGCACTAGCATCTAGGACTAGGACATCTGAAGTTAAGGTGCTTGCACTGATCTAGGTCCATTATGCTTTGGCTATCATGTATATACGAGCAATAGCTGATCAGCTAATGCATAAATAGGTCAAGGAACTCAGTGATTCACCATCAACATTTACTTTACTTTTAGTTCTTAATATTCCTTTTTTTTTCTTGCAGGAAGACACATGACTTTATCATTTGGAGTCAAGATATATGTTAGATTCACAGTTATATTTCAAGTAAAGTTGTTGATAGAGCCAGTTAATTCTTAAATGCATGTAAAATAAGATAGCCTTTTAGCATAGCTGATATTTGTTTAGGCACATCAGTTCACGTCTCAGGATAAAATAATTATTGCACTAGCACGCACCTTAATATGATCCCAGTCCATATTAACAACAGCAAGCCTGTGAGTTTCCTTGTCAATCATAGGTGTATCATCATGCCTTCCCATTAAGTAATGAGCAATGTCACTGCCAACAGAGCACTGTAGAAAAATAAAAATAAAAACCAAGAATTAACCATAAAGAAAATGGCATGTTGTAGCATAGCATTTTGTTTTCTTTCAGGCAAAGAATCTATATAGAACTTTAAAAAATATCCTTTAAGCAATGGAAATAACAAGGCTGGTAAAAACAAAATAATAAAATATGCAACAGGATAGAGCATAGAAACACAGAAAGCTGAATTTGCAATAAAAATATTGAATTCAACAAAATTCTGAAAATATTACTACTATTGGTCCCCCTAACAAAGGAAAATTTGATTTTCTGGCTCCACATGTGCACCATTGTACAAGTGGATTTTCACATTTTTACAGAAATGAGGTGCGTTATGAAGGTTGTCAAGGCAGAAGAGAACAACACTTGGCAAAGAGAGATAAAGCATAGAAGCACTCCCAAAGTTTTCCTGGATGCAGGCTTGAGCACTTGTAGGGTTGTGTAATTGTCTATAATCACAAGCATATATCAATGGTACTGAGACAATCACTTGGACAATTACAGACATAAGCACACTACTTCACTCAAAACAGGGAGTGAACTAACTAAGCAATGTTACTGAGATGTCCATACTCAAGTGTGCTATGTTGAAATGCACTACATAAATACACATATCTATAATATCTTCCAGTCCAGAATGGAGTCCTGAGGTCTGCATGGAAAATAGACTCTAGAGACTAGAATACAATAACTTGCGCTGCAATAACTAATTAGAAAGAGCACCGTGGGATTAAAAATAGCACCTTAACCCACATGAGATAAAATTAAGAAACTAATAGTTAAAAATAACCAACTAGGCTACTGTAAACAGGAAGGTGCTCGAATGCTCATTGTTCTCCCAAGAATCTAAAGTATATTATCAACACTTGAAAGCAAGGGCATGAAGCCAGTATGACCGTACTGGTTTAAGAAAAGTGCAATTTAGCTGGCGCAAGAGCTAAAGAGCATAGACACTGCACTAATATTATAGGACGACAGAAAATGGAAGAAAGCTGCAAAACTTATATACAGGTAGTAATTCCTGACCTCAGCCAGAGCAAAACAAGCTGAATGTAAGCTAAATCATGAAAAGGACTGGAAGCAAAGCGTCACCTCGTCGTCGTCATCCAAGTCTTCATCTTCGTCGTCATCGCTGCTAGAGCTCTCCTCTTCCTCCTGCTCCTCTACTTCCTCTTCATCTTCCTCCTCCTCTTCAACAAGCTCCGGTTTCTCCTTCTTCCCCTTCACTTTCCATTTCCCTTCCTCCTCCAAGTCCTCCTGGTTGAGATAGTACTCCAGCATGGGGTTCTCGCGCTTCTTGCGGCGCCTCCCGCGCTTGTCCACGGGCGCAGCCGACGAGGCGAACCTCGGGTCCGTCATCATGCTGCTGAACCTCGAGTCCAGCGCCACCTTGGCCTCTTTCCTCCGCATCGGCCGGAACCGCGGGTCCGTCCGCGCCGCCGCGAACCGCTCGTCCTCCATCGCCCGCCTCACCTTCTCGTCCCTCCCCTCGGCTGCCTCGGCTTCCGCTCCCTTTCCCCGGGCTTCCGGTCCTTCTTGGACTTCTTGCCGTCCCGCTTCTCCTCGCGCCCGTCGTTGTGCTTGCGCTTCTTGCGCTCGGCGGCGTCGGGGACCGGGGCGCCCTCTGTGGCGGCGCGCGCCTTGTCCGTCTTCTTTTGCTTCTTCTCTTCGTTGTCGAGCTTGGATTTCTTGGCCTTCTTGTGGCGCGCGGGCTCGTCGGTGCTGGCCGGCGGCGCCATGGCGGCTGGCTGCTACGAAGGCGAGGGCGCGGCGGCGACGGAGAGGAGGGCTGCTCACCTCGAGGGCTGGCACAACCCAAGAAGGGAGAGCGCCCTCACCTTAAGCGATCCTTTTGGGCCAGGCCGGGCCGCAAAGATTGGCCTGTGAGCCCACCGAGCCAGCCCATGGACCTCCTGCCAGGTGGGGCCCGCTAGTTTATGAGCCGCATCCACTCGTTGGTGAATGTGATGGTGCGATTCCATTCGACAGACACGACCGCGGTCCGCACCGCACGTCCGCACCAATTCGCTGGAGAAGAAGAGATACCGTACACGCCTCATTACGCCCATCCACGTGCTCGCCTCTCCCCATCGCGTAGCTTTCCTCGGCGTCATCGCCATCTCACCGGCGGCGGTCGTGCGACCGGCGGTCGGAGGCGATGGCGAGCTCGTCTGTGGCGGCGGACATGGAGCTGGACCGCCCGAACCTGGAGGACTACCTCCCGCCCGACTCGCTCCCGCAGGAGGCGCCCCGGAATCTCCATCTGTAATCGCCCTAGGGCCTCTCTCAATCAATCCTTACTTTTCCGTTCCTTAACCCTGGTGCTTCGGTTGTACTACCGAGACTTATGAGGCTTTCTGCGCTTTTCTTCTGCTGTGCAGGCGCGATCTGCTGGACATCTCGCCGGTGCTAACCGAGGCGGCGGGTGCCATCGTCGATGTGAGTGCCTCCCCGGAGTTTTAATCTTCTGTGTAATGTATTTTGGGTTAGAAGGTGCTGTCGTGGGTTCGTGGCAGATGAGTCTCGGCTTTAGCTGCTGTTGTCTAACTGTTTCATTTATTCTGTTATTATCCCATTTTTTTTGTGGAACATATATAAGTTGAAGGTGTAAGAACTGTTTCTCCCCAAAAAAAAACACACTCCCACAACAAAAGGGAAATCTCGCTTTAATAACTAACACATTAACAAATGATCCTGATCCGACAAGGCAACAACAGCTACCCATCATCCTCGTGGAGCAAGTGCAAGAAGGTATGTGATTCCTCGAGCCCCTGCCAAACCCTAGAGTTGGAGCTCCTCAACAGCAAGCGTCAGAGCTCTAGCTATGCTAGGAGCAGAACCATCAAGCGTGCACCAGTCATGGTGTTCCCAAATTGTCCAAGTACATAAGATGACAACATAGTTCAATGCCCTTCCTAGCTTGCTCGTCGACCAAACGCTCAGCTATAGCCCACCGTTCATCAAAGGAACTTCATTGAATCTGTTATTCATGACTTTATTATCTGGAATTTTGTAGGAATTTGATATATTCCATCCACCTGCTAGATGTTCCATTTTATTTAAAAGTTCTTCAAGGTCAATTTTCTGACTTTGGTCTATGAAATAATGGTGTAAAACTTAATCTTGTAGTTAATTTAGATGAACTTACAAAAGATCATTTATTGAAAGTATCTAATTGGCCTGATTTTGTGAATCTTTCCTGTAGAGGATTTATTATTGTTTCTGTGAAGGTTGAGACTTCACAATTCACAAATTTTATCAATTATTAATATTAAGTCATCCCCTTGCTTAGCAAGATTTTCATTTGGTTGTTTAAAATGTTGATTTTTTTTGCAATTTGTAGTTAATTGTCACCACCCTGGTGAGTGGTGAATATGAAGAAGTACTACCTCGGTATTAAGGATTTCAATCTGAGTGAGTGAGCCTCCTTTTTAGATGATCTGCTAATAGTATAGTAAATCTTGCCAGGATACTAGCCTTTGTGGAGCATCTAGGTACCAGCTGCCTCTTTTGTTTTTATTGCAATTTAAATGAATTATCTAACCAACCTTGCAGTGACCCTGTCCATCTGCCAGCATATTGCTCTTGTTGGAACCAATCGTGCTTGGTTCAGTGTTTAATTTTATTTATTTTCTTTCATTTCATTGATAGCTATTCACGTGGATACATAGTTTTGGTAGCCTAGCAACTTGTTTGGGACTTAAAGGCTTTTTGTTATAGGTTGTTGTTGCATTGTGGATACATAGTTTTTGGTATAGCATTGAAGCATATTGTTTGGAAGAAGCATATTGTTGGAAGAACCACATACAGTCTATGTCATTCTAAATAATGACAGTTCATATTTTTGTTTTACATTAGTTAATTCAAATTGTAAAGTTCTTGCCACATTGTCAAGTGTCAACTAAGATCTGCAGGAAATCTTCCTATGTTCATATAGATGGAACATGAATATCCTGTTTCACACGAATATTAATTGGATGATCCTTTGTAGGAGTATATGTATATAGCCTGGTTAAACCACAGAACACCTTATGTTTGAGGTGGAAAAATCCGGGTTATGTGTTTGTTTACAAAGATGTTATCATTACATAAAATCTTCCATATCTTCATATTTTTATTTCTTCTGTACCACTGTTTCTTTGATTTAAATTGCTGTATGAAATAAACAGGATAACATTTGTTATTCTGACTCTTCCTTATTTGTTTCACTGTGTTGTTATTTTTTCGACTGTATTTTACACATATGCAGGATTCATTCACGCGTTGCTTTAAGTCTAATTCTCCAGAACCATGGAATTGGAACATATATTTGTTCCCCTTATGGTGCTTCGGTGTAGTAATTAGATATGGAATACTCTTCCCACTGAGGTACTTGAGTGTTAAGATATTCCTAAATCTTTTCCCTGAGTAATTTTTGTTATTCAACTGATTAGATTACTCAGTTCTCTGACACTAAATTCTAAACCCACTCTTTCTTTAGCACTCGTGTTGTTCTGCAGTTGTTTGTTTATTGTCAGCACAAATTGGGAAGTGATTGAAGCCAACATAACTAGCAAAACTTTTGGAGTCAAAAGAGGATTTAGGGAGGCTGGAGGCCCTGTGTGGAACCTACTAGTTTGTACAATACTAAATATGTAATTGGGCCTATTTGGTTACCTCTGCCTTTAATGAGATAACAATAACAATGTAAAAATGTCATGATCTACACTTGCTTTCATAGGCCAGTTTGAAAATATATATATATATTTATATATCTAACCATCTCATCATAAGCCATCTTCTATGGCATACAGTCCACATCTTCTTCAGTTGCTTCAGTAGAAGTCTTAGTTTCCCGAAGCACAATTCACTTAGAAAATTTTGCCGATAAGCGTGTCAATGGAATTCATTTTCTTCTAGTGTTTCACCTTCCTCTATTTATTTTGTCAAACATTAAATCATCACCACCTGATTGTTTTAATTTTCTAATCAGGTCCTTAACACTTGCAATAGGATGGTTAGCATTTTTTGCCGCCTTTTTTTCCCCGTCCATTTCTTATTGAAAGGTCAAGACAAGTTGAGAAGTAAAATTGAGGTAAGCTATTTAATCCGGTATATCTATGTTAGCTTGCATAGTATCACACTATCACTGTTCATCCATCATTCCTCAGGCTACTTCTGAGATGATGTTCTTGGAGTAATAACCTGCTGTTGCTATTTCAGGCCTTGAGTGATGATTTTAAACTATTGAATTATAGGGATTAACATCATCTACCTAGTTTATCATTAAGTTTTTTCAATTTTATCTGTTCAGTTCATAATAAAGCTTCCATGGCAGTAGCAACTATCTGCATCATGAAAATCAATTATGACCGTCTATGCTACGGTTATCCTCTAAGTCATCTTATTAAGCCTAGCAAGTGCTTAAAAGATGGCCATTTCAAGCTTTTTGGAAATGTCCTGTTTTCACAGTATTTCTCATGAAATTGATATTTTGCTTTGCTTAGATTTGACTGCAAAAGAGTAGCACTAGGAGGATTGAACAGTTTCTGGTCTTTTTTTAATAGCGCAGTCTACATTTCCATACCTCCAAAGTTTTTGTTTATTTGCTGTTTCTTTTTTCCTTCATCTATATTGTGTATTCTTGGTCTCTTAATTACATTATTTTGTTTCAATCTTCATGTAGAGGAAGTTGGTTGAAATGATGTGCAGTGTTTTTGTTGCTTCATGGACTGGAGTGATCAAGTACCATGGACCACGCCCAAGCACACGACCTCATCAGGTTACCTTTTTCTTTGTTCCGGTAACTCGTGTTTAGATTTGTGTATATGTAACAACATTAGAGGTAGGTGCAAATTGTCCATGCTTTTGAGCTGTAAAACATAAGAGTGTTAGAACTTGGAAATTTTATGCATTACCAAATATTGATTTTTCGCTATTGTAAAAGAAATGTCGACTTTTTGCACTCAAAATTAGGTTGCTTGTAGTTCCAATAAAATTGTGTTAATGGAATCATTATGTAGGTCCATGTAAGCACTGTAGCTTCCTTAAATCTGAGTTCATTGCTGATAACTGCCCTTTGCAATTCTATTCCAATACATTAGGTATTTGTTGCAAACCATACATCAATGATAGATTTCATTATTCTGGAGCAAATGACAGCATTTGCTGTCATCATGCAGAAGCATCCTGGATGGGTTGGTGAGTCCCTGGTTCTTCAGAAAATTCTCTGCTGATTTAAGTTTCAAATGATTTATTTATTATTTCTCTATTTCTCTGTTCCCATTATTTGCAGGATTTATTCAGAAAACTATCTTGGAAAGTGTGGGTTGCATCTGGTTTAACCGTAATGATCTCCGGGATCGTGAAGTTACGGCACGGAAGTAAGTTTTGTCTTTGAAATGACAATCCCCTTGATTATGTAGTTTATTTTGTTCAAAGAATTGCATTGTCAGGTTGCGTGACCATGTTCAACAATCAGACAACAACCCTCTCTTGATTTTCCCAGAAGGAACTTGTGTTAACAACCAGTACACGGTCATGTTCAAGAAGGTGAACCCTATCTTCATTTACTCTTGTCATTTGATGTATCTTTTTCTGTAGGTGTGTGTGGTGGTGGTTGGTGTGTTGGGGGGGGGGGTCCGGTATTCATATATTTCCTTCTCCTTGATGCAATGACACATATTCAAGAAAAAAAAAACTTACAAGTAACTACAGAACTTTTAAAAATTTGTAAATTACTATCTCGGCCTTCCTGGTAGCCAAACATGGGACATTCTGATTGTCGCTCGCTCATATGTGAGACAGTAAATAGATGTCATAGTCTAGAAGTTAGTCACACCATGGCATTTATTTGCATAATTGCTGACTTGCTGTTATTTACTATGACAATGTTTGTTTATTGTTTCTGTTCTCTAGGGTGCCTTTGAGCTTGGGTGCGCTGTCTGTCCAATAGCTATCAAGTACAATAAAATATTTGTGGATGCCTTTTGGAACAGTAAGAAGTAAGGAATACAAATGGTGAAACAAATTTATGTCATCCACACTTTTCTTTGGTTAACATGATTACCTTGCATGAAATGTTTTAGGCAATCTTTTACAATGCACTTGGTCCGACTGATGACATCATGGGCTGTTGTGTGTGATGTTTGGTACTTGGAGCCTCAATATCTGAGGGAGGGAGAGACTGCAATTGCGTTTGCTGAGAGGTAACATATTTTTAAATTCGTTTTATTTTCCAAGAAAAGCTTAAGGTGCATTGTCTTTTTGGAGAGACCATAATATTATTATTTCTTGCATGATTAAATGCTTTGAACAGAGTAAGGGACATGATAGCAGCTAGAGCTGGTCTTAAGAAGGTTCCATGGGATGGCTATCTGAAACACAACCGCCCTAGTCCCAAACACACTGAAGAGAAGTGAGTTTCCTCCCTCACTCCTTCCCCCATTTCCTGAGTTGTGTAGTTCCAAAGTTTCTAAAGTGGTTTCCAATCTCCAGGCAACGCATATTCGCCGAATCTGTCTTGAGGAGACTAGAGGAGAAATGAAGAGACGCCAAACAATACAAGTGCATTTGGTTAGGGGTTTACCGCCAGCTACCTTGTAATTCGGTTACTTCCAAAAAAAAAAGTGAGTCCGGGACACATCAAGTGGCCAGCTCATTTTTGTTGTAAATTTGTTAGAAGTTAGTAGAATTAGTATGTACTTCTCAAGAAAGGAAGAATAGCCGCATGTGTTTTGGCTGTTCATTCATTCTATGATTGGTTAGGAATTGACACTTGGAACACGGTGCTCTATTGAGATGCTGTGTCGGTATTTATGAATCGACGATGTCATTGTTTAAATTCATGTGATTATTGGTTTAACAATATGAGTAGATTATACATCCTCTGTATATATCTTCTTGATTCTTAAAATTTTGGAAGAGCAGGTAACATTTCGCAAATATTCTCTTGAATGAATACGCTCGTGTTAAAAGTAATTGCACTAGAAGAATCACAAATGTCAGCCAAACGAAGGAAAAAACACTAAATACAACATGACCTTTGAAACCAAGATTAATTGAAAGGGATCAGCGATGTCCACACCAATTCAAGCCGATCGAGACCGAGAGAAAAAAAAGAGAGAGAGAGAGACGTGCTAGAAGTAGAGCGTGCACCGGGAGTTCTTGTCCTGCGGACGGAGCGTGCCGTCCCCTTGCATCGTGAAGTCGCACTCCACCTTCATGTGGTGATGCTTGGTGTCCCACACCTTCACCTGGAACTGCACCTTGGAGGTGAGCACCAGCCGCATCTCGACGCTCCCCGCCGACATCTCGCCGGCGAACCGCCCCCACGACGGGTCCGTCGGGACGGGCCCCCTCGCCTGGAGGGTGCCCTGCACGGGCGTGTCGCCCTTGGGCTGCTGGTAGAAGGGATTCATCACGGGCCCCGTGGCGACGAGCTGGTCGCCGTAGAACACCGACGCGAGGATCTCGTCGTAGTACATGCCGATCTTCTGGTTGGGATTGTGCTCGTTGACGGTGAAGTGCACGGGCAGGTTGGCCAGGCCGGACTGCCGGTTGGCGTTGGGGATGGAGAAGTCGGCGAGGTAGAACTTGGGCCGGTGCGGACGGAGGCTCAGCCACAGCACGAAGAGGATGACGCCGGCGACGAGGATCAGCGTGAGCAGCACCGCGCAGAGGAAGTTGACGCACCGCGCCACCGGGCTCTGCGGCTGGTACAGCGACTGCCCGTAGCGCCGCATTGTTCGTTCTCCTCTGATCTGCTACACTGCTAGTGCTGCTGCTGTCTTTGCCTGTCTTGTGTCGTCTTGCACACCAACACCGTGATGGTGTCGCAGGCGATCCACGTCTTGTATACAGTTGCAGGGGCCGGTCCGTTGTGCACGCATGCAAGGCAGTAATATTCGTGCCTAGCAAAGGCGAGATGCTGACACGCAAAGACACAGAGGAGCCTTGTATACAGCTGCAGGGGCCGGTCCGTTGTGCACGCATGCAAGGCAGTAATATTCGTGCCTTGAGCAAAGGCGAGATGCTGACACGCAAAGACACAGAGGATATCTGGGTTTTGATTCCTAGCAGGGAGTTGGACCGTGCTGGAAAGTGAAAACAGAAGGTGTCCAAATTCTCTCGAAGGTGATCGGTGATCCTGATCTATCTGCAAGTCTTGATCTTATAAAAAGGATTGAAGATACCTTATGAGTCTTTTTTGCTCCTTTTTAGTTTCTCCCCTCTGTCCTCCCGTACGTATTGATTCTCAGCATGTGTATATAGGTTGTAACTGAAGCTATTGGGTGTAAAGGCAGTATTATTCTGAGATTTTTTTTATGTTCTTTAGTAATTTAGTAATCCACTCTTAGGTTCCTTGCTTGAAGTTTTTGCAGATACCGGAAGAATAGTAGCCCAAACTTTGCCCTGGGGCAAACACAAAGGCACAAATGCTCGTCCTATACTCCTCTGACAGCGGGCAAGTATTATCCTTGGATTCCTGAGAAACAACTACATGGACCATCGAAGATCACGGGCCCAGACAGGCCAGTTCCTTCCGTACATGGCCCATCGCAAATCACGGGCCCAGCCAGTCCAGTTCCTTCCGTTTTGGGGCCCATCGACAGTCACGCGTCCATTGCGCCGCCCTTCTGTCCCTGCTTCCGTCCACACCGGTGCACTGCCTGCACGGACAGCAGACTAAAGTAACTCCTCATATAAATACCTGACTTTACATAATTTCGACCACTAATATTGTATTAAACGACGTGTTCTTAAAATCCTCCAAATTCATGATTTTTTTCAAATAAAAAAATTATAAATTATTGGTGTTTATAGCTTTTATGATTTTACCGAGTCTTGTTTAAAATGGTACAGTATGTTTTATGATTGGAGGGAGTATTTTCAGCTACAAACAGCATAATAGGGCCATTGCAATATGATATTATAGATTTTCCAAATTTCTAAAAGTTTTTTCACCATGGTAACACCCCCTCACAACAAATCAGCTTCAGCCGGCTTATCAGCCGCACAAACCATCAACCAAATAGCTCACAACAAAAACACAATAATATGTTATTATAGATCTGAAACGGTTTATCTTTTTTGGCCCCTAAGCACATCACAATAATATGCAACATTCACAACAAAAACAAATTTGTCACAGCCCAAAAAACCTATGCATGACATGGTGCAGATGCACATCCAAATTAGCATCTTGGAAAGTTTAATTTATAATAGGCACTGTTTGCTTGTATTTTTTCCCCTTAAACACCGTAAGATGCAAATGCTCACATATACATAGCACAATCACACATTTTATAAACACATGCATACTCTCTACCCTATTAGCATTTATGAGAGACAAAGGGCATCCTTGGTCCTTTTGCCAAGCACTATGTCATCTAGCTGAGCAAGGGACTAGAATTAGAAGCTTGTTTAGATGACTAGCCAACTTATCTCGATTCCTGTGGTGGCAAGATTTTCTTTGCTGTTGCAACAGAGCCAAATTGGCTTCTAGGCTAGCAAGGGTCTTGTTATCCGTGCCAGCAAAGCCAGGCCAGGGTAGACATTTAGGTTGTGTTTGTGATTGTTCCCCAACTCTAGATCTAGCAAATCTAGCTCCGCTTCACAAAAAGTCTTGCCAAATACTCTAGCTCCACTAAATTTAGATCCACCAAAACAGTTGAATCTGAGGGCTAAATTCATTAAAATAGTAGATCTCATCGGGGATGCTACACAATTGGTCAAAGTAGAAAAATTACCCAACTCTGCCACCGCTTACACGAACATTCCGATTCGTTCTAATTTTTCTTCTTCTTCTCTCCCATCGTGACGCTTCTTCTCTTCTTCTTCACCGAACCACCGGTGGTCGGCCTCGCCCCTCGCCCCCACCATCGCCGGCCTTGCCTCCCGCCCGCACCGTGACCGGCAAGCCGCCCCGGCCTGACTAGCCTCCGGCCACGTGGGATCCACGAGCGCGCCCTCTGGCCGGTGAGGCTCCGCCCCGACACCGTCTGCCCCGCTCCGGCGAGGGTCCGGCCGCGTCTGCGTGCCCGGCCCCGCCCCCCCAGTACTGCGAGCTCCGGTAGCAAGCGCCCCGCCGCCCCGGGCTCGCCTTCACACGCGTCCGCGCCCCGCCGCCCCGAGCTCGCCTCCACGCTGGCCAGATTTCCCCGCGCGGCCGCACCTCGCTGCCCCGCCGTTGCCCTGGCCGCAGGAGCCCCAGTCCGCGAGTTCCCTGCACCGGCCAGGTCCCCACGCCGAGCCCCTGTGCCTGCCGCGCCCCCCAGCCCGCGCCGGCCGGAGGAAGAAGAAGCCCGAGGCGGCTGGACGAAGAATCGCGTTTTTTTTTTGCATTTTGTCTTGACACTGACACGTGGGGCCTATCTCAAGGTAAATCCATCCATTCCAACTAAAATGCCCTGATCTGGAGCTGCTGCTTCACGGTGAATCTTAAATCTAGATTCACTTTTTCGGTAAACGAGTTGTCCCAAACAGACGCTTATTAATGTTTGGCACATCACATTGTGGATCATGGCTTGGCTAGGTAATGTGATTTCACCGAGAACTTCCCGTCTTGGTGTTTGTTGTAACGAGATTCATCTTTCAAAAGACCAAAAAAAAACCAACTACATCAAGACATGGCTACAAAAAAATAATTAATTTTTGCACCAACTAATATTCAACCCATTATTGATGCACTTAATCATCTTTCGAAAACAAAAAATATGGATATTGAACAAAAAAATAAATCTAATTCTAATTAATAGTATTAGTCTTTTTAAGATGTGGCTATTGAATAAGGGTAGAATCTTGTTCCCTACTAAATTTAACCTAGGATCTTCAAAAATTTAGTCTAATTTCTTTCATAAATACCTCAACCAGCATGCAAGAGAGAGAAAATAAAAAAACTAATTAAGCAAATAATCTACCACTATACCTTCAAAAATATGTTAGGAATAGCATGTACTTACCTTCTAGAGTCAAAGCAAAAAATTTCCCCTTAGATATGTATTTTTTTGGAAAGTTGCGTGAGTTCCTTGCTTCCTCCTCAGACTACAGCTGCCCCGGGGAGGAGGGAGAATGTACTGTAGCTATTAATAAAGATGGCTCTATCCGGGAGAGAGGGGCTGTACTGTAGCTATTAATAAAGGCGACTCTAATACAAATGGTATTTTAGAGGTAGCTGGGAACCCAACCGTCTCAAAAGAGCCCACTATTTATAGAGATGATCAAGAGAGGTGACTTGATTATTGAGGCTTGAGGACGCCACACTAAAAGACTGCACTTGAATTGAAAGTGAGATTGTTTCATCTCGTCTCACTTCGTGGAACCAAAAACTTTGAAGTCATATTTTTCCCGAAAGGTGGCAACATATTTTGCTAGATTTTTATTAGATGAGAAAAAAAAGAAACAGAGTTATAGAATTACATGAGAGGCTATACTTGCCACCACTAATGCCCGCAGGCCGACCACTCTACTCTGTATAAATTGAAGTCGTGTATACTTGAACGTGTTAATCCAATCTAATACTTATAAACTATTTTTTTGAAAAAAATCAGATAAAAAAGTTGCCGATTATATTAAAAAAAAAAGAAAGATTTCAGATTGAGTAACGTAGCAACGGAACCTAAAAGGTTCGTAAACAACGACGATCATAAAGTATTTATGGATGGATACCAGTTGGCACTTGGCAGTGCAGCAGTCTAACGGTAGTACAATCCAGCGTTCTCGTTGACTTTTGACTGAGCCCGTGGTTGCCAAATGCATATGCGCACACGTGCAGATTTCACGATGCTGCTCGTCAGAGTAAAATATGACAGTGTGTGGATACTTCTGGAAAACCATCACCATATGGCGCAAAAATTATAATACTCCGATCCTACGTTACTAAGCGTCTCTGGAAAACTCAGAGCTGGTTTTTCTTTTTTGTCAAATCGATGCTGATGCCGATGGATCTTCAAAGTTACAACTCATTCGATGATTCGATCGTAGTGAAGTATAGATTTACAAGTCTTGTTTGGCACAGCTTTAGATCCTATACTTTACGTTGAACTAATCTAGTATAATTTTTTGAGTAAACTAAAGCAGATTAAATATTTGTAGTTAGTCTAACGTGTAAATAAAATAATTAACCTAAATACTCTTGATGTATCTGCTGCAGTAGTATATCCAAAATCTCTTGAAGCTATAATACTCAGATCTAATATATCTAAGATGGATATAGAGCATTTTTAACTGATGGTACCAGAGATGATTGTATTATTGCGTGGTTAATTGACCATCGACCAGACTAACATGTGACGAACTATATATACAACAACATAATAATCATCATCAATCAGATCAACATGAGATTAACTCTACACAATACTTGTAATAATATACTAAAATCCAAGGCGCGTGGCGGGCACGCAACAAGACAGAGTCCGTACTGTATCGGGGAACTTTGCATAGCCAATCTCAGTGAAAGTTTCATAACACAACAGTCCAACAGTAGTACAATCCAGCGTTATCGTAGATTGAGCCCGTGGTTGCCAAATTTCTCTCTATTCATAATTAATATGTATCTCTCTCTTCATATTTAACCTGTCAAATCATCAAATTTGCTGACGTGTCACGATATTAAATGTAAATAAAACTTAGATGAAACTTCCTCTAAGACTAGTCTATGTGTGGCGGCCGCTAGTATCGGTCTAGTGCTATCTATGTCATTGCTCACGTTTGCAGCACTTTTATATTTTGTTATTGCTACTTTAATTACGAACTGTGGGCTATCATGTCGATATCCTCTCTTTTGTTATTTGCGACTTTTATATGTTGATATCTATGGCTATCATGTCCATATGGCATCTTTTGATTTTGCCAGCGCTTCTCTTTTCAAAAGCTAAAACAAGAAGAAACGATTATATTATGTAGCGGTAAAAAAGTGGACATATAGCTAGCTGCAATTAACCGGGCGCAAATGGCCATGGAATCATTGAAAGCTGCCAAATTTTCAGGCCGGTTTATAAACGTTAAACGTATATATATACATGCCACCGTACCCCAAATACCATTCGATTATTGCAGCAGTATATACATCTTTTTTGATACACTAATAAAACAAAGTTTTGAATCTGTACAAGTTGTAAGCAGGCGCTGACACACAGGATAAACTACTCGAGTACTATCATCAGCTAGTATTCTCTCATACAGAGTCGTCAAGATCATCAGCATCATCACAACTTTAAATAATCCGCCGGCGACGCGGCTTCGATCTAGCTGCAGACAAAGGCTACTTGTTTAAACGCATGCAGCCCTCTACACGGCCACAGCCTCTCTGTCGTCGGTCAAGCACTCAAGCTCAGACCTCGACGAGGTACGGAAGCATCTCTCTCATTTAAGTAAAAAAAAAAAATACAAATCCCAGCAACGATTATGTCCTGTACTGTACCTGTACGGCATGCATGTAGTCTTAGTCTGCTTCCTGGAACCTGTTCTTTCATTCTCTAATCTCTATGCAGTCGTCTCACCATCAGACACTCATATATGCACCCCAACCTCCATATATACCCTGTCTCTCCACTACACTAAAACCCATTAGATCTAAACCCCAAGCCTACAATAAGCTCAAACAAACGCCACTGCTACTTCTCGATCTCTAGCCTTCTTCAGCCTATTCTCATCCTCCTGTACCTTTCCCAGTCAACGCTGCTACTACTAGCCAGTTTCGAGATCAACTAGCTAGCTTCGTTTGCCATGGGAAACTGCAGCTGTCTGGAGAGGGTGAGGGTGACGGCGTGGGACGACGTCGACGATGACTTGGGCCTGCCGGCCGAGCGTTCCGGCAGCGCGCGAAGGGTGGTGTCGGCGGAGAACAGCGGAGGAACGCGCATCAAGATCAGAATGACCAAGGGCCAGCTGCGGCGGCTGCTGGAGACCGCCGGTCGCGGAGGGGCGCCTGACGAAGACGTCGTGGCGGAGATCATGAGCATGGGCACCGTGCGCGTCGACGTCGAGGAGTTCCGGCACGCGGCGGAGAGGCACCGGCCACCCAAGCTCGAGACGATACAGGAAGACGACTTGGATGAGTAGAAAGATTTTGGGATCACATCCACATCGGTCCATGGCCTTGAATCTGTTTGCATATGCGCCGCCTGCACATCTTTATTTATGGCCTTGAATCTGTTTGCACGCTCCTACTATTAGTTTAATTACTTAGCACGTATTTATATTGTTTGGTACTTCCATCTCTACTAGTAGCAGTTTTGGTACTTGGCAGTTGTACTCGATCAGGTGATAGTCATGGATATGTGTATATATAGATCAGAAATATGTGAACGTATACACGTTGTATGTAGTTACAAAAACCATCCGTGTTATGCTCTCTTCAAAAATGGATCAGGACAGCCTTTTTTAGGGTGGAATGGATCAGATCAGCGGGCAATTATAGATGGCTAGATATGCCCGTAATTTTTCATCCCCGGTCTAAGCATGGCACGGGCGCACGGCCCGTTGGCTTAGGGCCCATACTGGCCCTATACCAAGTATGGTGCTTGAACTAGACAAGCATCTCCAGCAATACCACCTAAATCAGACCCTTCCTACTGTTGGATTTGGATAGCCATATATTTCAATACTACATATTTTGTTGTTCTTTGCTCTAGCAACATAACCTAAAATAGATCCCCTAAATTCATCCTGGTAGAGAATGACATGTGGGATCCATATGTCATCCTCCTCCCTATCTCATGGCCATGGACGAACTCGGCCATCCTCGTCGGTCGCATCGTGCAGGGAAGAGGAACAGCCGGGAAGCTCCGACCGGTGGCGGCCAGGACCAGGGAAGCCGCGCCAGGGAGGGCCACCGGCGTCAGGCACGGCTGTCGCGCCGGGCAGGGCAGACAGCGCTGGGGAGGGGAGCCGCCTCGTCGGGCATGAAACTGGTGGCGGCCAGGACCAGAGAAGCCGTGCCAGTCAGGGCCGTCAATGTCTGCTGGAGCTAGTTTTTTTACCCCCACTACCCAAATTGGGAGTAGGGGGTCAAGTCGGGGGTATTGCGGGGGTTTCTCTTAGGGACCTACTCCCGTTCCAGCATAACTTGTCTGATAGCTACCAAACGGTTTTTTCTAAGAAGTGATTCTATACTTATTTCTTGAAGTGATTATTTGAAATGAACTAGGAGTCTAGGAACTCAAGGAAGTTTCTTCTTGCTTCAATCTACACACATAATCACTTTATATGTAGAATTTATTCTAGAGAATCACTTTCTTCCCAGAGAATTAGGAGTAGGAGTTCTACAAAACAGGACCTTAAGCATCCTCCCGCTCCTCAGCACCCGGACCAAACTCTACTTCATTTTCAACACGTGTCTGCCGCCAACACTCGCAATTGTAGTCTCTCTCGCCAGCCTCTCTCTCCCTCGGTCTTTGTTTGTGTTTGACCCCCCACATGACATAAGGCTTTGAACATCTTTAAACCATACTTGACTATCCTATTAATGATGTGGCAAGAACAATCCAGAGGTGCTTGAGCATTACATAAGTAGAGTTCTATCTATATACATTTTTTACAAAGACTTATTACCTTGTTTTTATTGAAAGCATATAAATTTGTGCATAACAACTGGTGTTGCCAGCTTTAGATCGAGAACAAAAGAAACTTTAGCCTAACCACAAAGCAATGAAGGCTCTAGGGCTAAGTCTAAATAAAATTACATGAAACTATCACTAGGTTCATTATCCATCTTCTTGATAAATTCTACGATCCAACTCTGTATCAGGGTCATCCTCTCTTCTAAACATCTTTGGTCAGCCTCCCTCGCTCCAATAGGATTCACCAGCTCTGTAGAGATCCAACAATTCTGCACCAAAAATTAGCTGAGGATTCATGATTTTTTTTCAATAGACACCTTACTCGGAATTTTCCATAACCCCACTGTTTGGGGTATATTATACGTTGGGGGCCCGCTAGTGTGTTTAGGGCTCATTTACACAACCTAGCCGCTTGTGAGATAATATTTAGGCTTTTAGGGCCCATTTATAGCCTCTGATGCCTTTTTTTTTTGTAAATATACAAGTCCCACTAGAGAAAATAATGAAAATCTCTCGTCCCACCTCTCATGTAAAAAAGGGAGAGGGGAGAAGGGGGCTCTACCTGGATTCATTTTGTCGCACTCTCCCTTTCACTCTCCAATCTTCTCTCATGTTGGTGCTCCGCATCAATACTGGCGCCCACCGTGTCACATTAATTTTTTCTGAGAGATGAAACGTGTGAGAAGGACAGAGACAAAAGCCATGTTCGTTTGGGCTTGTTTGACTGATAAGCCATGACTGAAAGTACTGTTGACTGATTTGGTGTGAGAGAAAAATATTGTTCGTTGGCTGACAAATCATGGCTTATAAGCCAAACACGACCAAACGAACATGCTGAAAAGATTTTCTAACGCGTCATTCTTTGAACTTCTTGGTCGGCCAATAGCGCACTATTTAGGATGGAGCTTTTCAGTCATTACCTGGACTATTGTGCTACTTCGGCACTTGTGCGTGGGATGCCCCCCTACAGCTGTGGTCGAATAGTTTCTAGGTGAAAACTGTTCCCGACATCTTGCTTCAGGCTGGTGTCGGTGGCTTTGGAGGTGTCGCCGAACTTTCTATTCGCCGCACGAGTCGCTGGGGTGGTTCTGGGACAAAAGTCCTTCTCGTGTGCTCCTTCCAATAGTGTTGGCGTCTATGGATGTCATCCCCTTCTTGGAGGCTGCGTTGGAGCACTTCTGCTATCGTCCCGCTTTTCTTGCTAGAGTCGCTCCTTGCTATGTTGTGACTGTGTGTGCTTCAACTTACTATTCGCGTTGGTCTGTCCAACCCTGGTATTTGGTGTTGTTGCAGATGCTTGGTTCTTTGTAGTGGATACTTGGTAGCTTGTGCTCTCTTTGATGGATGCTTTGTCGTCACTGCTACTATGGCGGATACTTTACCGCCGACGTCGCTTCGGTCTCCCATCTCAGGCAGATACTTTGCTATTGAGTGTGTGATGGCCCCCTTCTTGCGGATACTTTGTCGCTGCTTTAGTCCCTTGCAGATACTTTGTCGCTCCATGTCGTCTTTGGCGAATGCTTTGCCACTGTGCTACCAAATGCTTGTCTCATCTACTCTCGGTGGATGCTTTTCCACCACTGCTTCATCGTCTTTGTTGGCAACCTTGCGTTGATGTAATTTCCCTTTTGCAGGCACAGTCGATTAGGTTTGAGGCAGAGGATCCTCTTCTTACCTCCTTTTCTTTCTCTTGTTGTATTGGGTAATTTCGTTAGGTTGCTTGGCCACCTTCTTGGTGGTGATTTGTAACTCTACGCTACGAGGGTTCTGTCATTGTAACTCATTTCCTCTTAATGAAAAATGTGCTCTGGCACGATCAAGAAAAAACAGCTTGCCTTAGACCGAGGAAACAAAGAGGTAACGATACTAGCTTTTCAGAGTTACTGATTTTGGCTTGCCCAAGAGGTCAAATACTAATAAAGGTTCTGGATAGCATTTAGAGATTACAACATAAAAATAAACAAAAATACCTATATGCCTATTTACAAATTAGTCACCATTGCCATTTTGAATTAACCCCGCAAAATACCCATCTACCTATCTATAAACTAACACCCTTTAAAAGATAAGTCAGAAATACCTCCATACATGTTTCTTTATCTACATATATACCACATATACCACTAAAAAGTGAAGTAAGAGAAATAAGATAGCACAATTTAGTTAATGCGTAAGTCATTGCTGACAATGCCCATTTAAGATTTCAATGTTACGATTCATATATCATATCATGTAAAACAGAGTTAGTTGTGCATAGCTTGAAATGTGTAGCTCAATTGTTGTATTAGGACGGCAACAATGAAAGTCGCAACCACACAGTTTATGATGGAGCGTGACGTCCATACCTAAATGAAAATCTATTTAATTGAAAAAAAAACAAGAATAAATGCAAGTTGAGTTACATAAATAGTAGACCAGAATGACGACAATAAAGCCCAAACAAAAGAATGTAATTATGGTAAGTCTAGATTGGAGGAATTGGTTTGGCCTATATATGAAGGAGACCCCTCAACGATGTCCCCATGTCAAAAAAAAAAAATTTACAACTCAGTAGTTCGGCAAAGCGATGTTAAGTGCAATGGACACAACAAATGCGACCGAGATGAGCACAGCAAACAATGGGCGCATGAGATTTTTGAACAGAAAGCTCGTGATGAAAAGCCAGAACAACTCTTCCAAGCTCGCGGGACGGCGGTGCACATTGGTGAGCCCTCTCCATCCGGCTCGTCGCCATATCGCTTTCCCCAGGTAGAAGGGCGCCCAGATGCCCAGGAAGCAGAGGAGCACCGCGGCCAGCGCGAGCACGTACACCAGGGTTACCAGCCACCGGTTGGCCTCGCCGAGAACGACGTGGGTCCCGAACGCGAACGCGGCGACCATGAGCTGCGCGCCGGGCGGCAGGAGCCCGGAAGCCGACCACTGGTAGAAGCGGCGCTGGCCTCGGGGGACCTGCCCGGCGCCGCCGTAGACGAGGAAGCATGTGGACACGATAGAGCAGAGGAACGCCATGGTGTCCGACGCCACGAACGCCCGGAACGCGAACCGCCTGGCCAGCACGGCCGTGCCCGCACGCGGGTGGTCGTCTGCGACGTAGCCCGCCGGCACGGTGAACGCGGCCGCGAACGTGACGGTGGCGATCAGCACGGACGCGATCGTTGCGGTCGCCGTGATACCGTCGATGTCCTTGGGGTCCTCGTCCGTAGCCGGCGTCGTGGTGTTACTCATCCTGCTGTGCAGATGAACATGGTCCCCTAGGGTGACCGGTGCTCTTGTCCAGTACAAACAGTTCTTCACTAAGGCTCGAGGATTCTGTACACCAAACAAGACGATCAGATGATCAATGGAGTCATGGAGACTGGCGAGTCGTAACATTTAGTTCTGGAAAGTGGAAAAAAAATAGTGTCATTATTACCAGGAAATAGTGTAAACCAGGCTCCAGATGACTGTAAGCAAGATCTGCAGGCGTTAGACCATCCACGTTGGTAATGCCTACCTCCACGCTCATGGTCTGCAGCAGAAAACTGACCATCCTTGGATGGCCATACTTGACGGCTATATGGAGCAGGGTGTTTCCTTCGTAATCCATGGCATTCAGCAGGATAGCAAACATGCCATCTCGGCAAATGAATCGAACCACACCTTCCTGATTATGCTCAATAGCATAGTGCAGGAAATTTCTTCGTCGGCGATCTACCAATTCTGCATAGTCAGGGCATCTCTCTACAAGCTCAACGATGTTCCTAACGTTCCCCATCATGGCGGTGACATGCACTGGAAACAAACCTTCGTTGTCGGAGACACGCGCTAGTGAAGCTTCTAGGCCCTATTTGATGCATGCGTATCCACCTCAATTCACATGTGTTGGAGTGGAATGGAATGAAATTTAGTTTAATTCCACTCTAATCCACTCCAACATATGTGGATTGAGATAAATACATGCGCATCAATAAGGCCTCGGGAGTAGCGAGACGATGCCATCAGCCTGTTCGCTTGCTCGTAAACGATCGTAAATTTCTAGCCAGGAACAATGTTTTTCTCTTACACCAAACCAGTCAGCAGTAAATAATCCACGGTACGATACGGCCTCCCGAACATGCTGCATGTTGTCCGTGTGAAAGCAGCGCATAATGGAGAGGAGTTTTCCCCGATGAATCAGCTCTGGGCAGCAATGCCAGACCCTGCTCTGATTCCAGGATTCCTTGAACGATTTCTAGTTGAAGATTGCCAGTTGGTCGTCACCATGCTTGCTACGGGAAAGGGACTGCAGAATTGCTACGGGGATGTGCATCCAGCAAGTACCTTTGCTTTTGGACACCGCGGCATGCAAAGCAGTCCGTCCCTCGGGTCCTGCAAACGATGCCAGCGACGGTGTCCCATCAGGCGCCGGATGAAGCAGCGCGCGGACCATCTCCGCGGAGCCGGTCATCGCCGCCAGATACAGCGGCGAGACGCCGTCGTCCGTCGTCACTGCGGCCAGCTCGGGCGCCTCCGTCGCCAGCAGGACCACTGTCCCCGCGTGGCCGTTCCGGACGGACTCGTACAGCGCCGTGGCGCCCAGCCCGTTCCTCGCCCGCAACCTTCGGCGTTTGCTCCGCCCGCGCGCATCGCCGACAGGAGGCGTGTGGCGAGGAGCGAGGGCGCCAGCTCGCAGACGCGCCTCGCGAGCCCCGCGTGCCCGCGGCTGGCGACCAGGTGGAGCGCCGTGCTCCCGCTGCCCGTCACGCCGAGGAGTGGCGCCTCTGCTCCAGTCGTCGCCGCGCCCAGCTGGAGGTTTATCGCCACTCCGCCGTCCGTTCGCGAGCGGCCATCCCTTTGGCGGGCCAATAGCTCCTCCACGCGGGCCTCGTCGCCCGAGGTCAGCGCGCGTAACAGTTCAGAGTCGAGGTCGTGCTGAGATCCCGCCATGATTGGATCTGAAGTTTGCCCTGCAACGTTGGGCAAAGACCTGTCAATTGTGTGCCTGCAACTTGCATATTGTGTAGTTGTTGTTTTGTTTCATTTGATGATTGACATAGAGGTTTTGGGCGTTTAGACTTTAGAGAGAGAAGGTTTGTTTTGAGCAAATTTAGAGATAGCAGGGTGAGTTAGGACTCAGGAATCTGGATGGCAGATGGGTTTTGGGCTCCCTTTTGGGCCCGTCACCAGGCTTCAGTTATCGCATTTGAGAATTGTGATGGATGGATCAGTAAATATTTCGTATCATAAATGTTTGTATAGATTTGATCAAATTTAAAAATATTTGACTTCTTAAAAAGTAAGAATTATAATTTTAGGGGTTGGAGGGAGCATTTTCCTTTGTAAAAAAAAAACAAATGGATCACTCTTAGGAAAGCTCATCGAGAGCAGGCCTAACATCACTTATTCCATTTATCTCTGAGCAGGCCTATAATCAGTTGCTTGATCACAAGTGACACTCTGGTGTTTGGACTCTGACTTTTGTATCTGTATTCGAGGCTGCCCCCATATTTTTATTATCCAAGGCCTACAAATACGTGATTTTTTATTTATTAACCCTTTTAAAATAATACTTTAAAAATAACCTACCCTAAAAATTATTCCCAAATCTAACCATTTTGGTGATGTTGGTCCGTGTGGCGCAGCAAATTTGCCAAAGTGGCATACCGTGCTGACGACGATCGGTCCTGCCCCACCATCCCTGCTGGTGCGAGAGGGCTATCGCTACCTCTTTCTCGATTGCTTCTTCTCCCTTCTAAACAAGCCGAGCGCTTGTCTCCAACGAATTCAAATGGCAGTGAATCTGGGCATTGGCCGGATCCTGCTTGACTCCGACGCACAAGAAGTTGTGAGGGCTATCAAGTCATGTGAGTATGATCTGTCAGCTGAGGGTCATTTGATCGATGAAATCAAGTCTCTGTTGTGCTCAATTTTATTTTCTTTGAGTGTGTTCATGTTGGTAGAGTATGATCTAGTTGTGCTCATGAGCTGGCTGCACTAGATCATTTGTGTAATGAGGGTGAGGAGTTGATCACCAACTCTATACCTGATGTTGTATCTGTGATTGTGGCTAACGATTTGTTAGCCAATGAGTAAAGAAGAAGAAACTCAGGTTAAAAAAAACAATAGATTAGTAGTTGCAATCTAAATTCCACAAAACTCGACATGGGTGGTATATATAGTGTAGATGTTCCATTTTAATGACTTGCAAAATGCCAAGTGTCATATATTTTGAAACATCTAATTTCAAAAGTAGACTATATGTTATTGCTACAAGGCCAACACTTAGCTTTGGAAATTTTACAAACTCTTTGCACTTTTCAAACCATGAACCACTAAACAAATCTATATCTATATCTAATAATAAAGAGGCAAAATTTTCAGCCATTTTCATCATCCATTTTTTTTTATCCGTCTCTCTCTAACTATCGAGACAATTGAGAGTTTCTTCCGTTCGGACTTATATATATACAACCCGTGCTCATATGAGTTAGAATAGCTCTTGTATAGCGTGATATGGAGTTCGATTCCAAAATATATTGTGTAAGTGCTCATATGTGTTATTATTAGGTAATAGATACGCGTTTATTCAGAATCCATATACCAAACGCCTGTTGCAAATAGAATACGAATAGAATACGTCACCTTTTTTTTTTTTTTTTTTTTTTTTTTGCGGAGATGTTCCCGTGCGTCTGTTTTTTCTTACGTGAAGACGTTACCTTCCACATGGTACACGGCACAAGGGAAAAATTCCGAATTGAGCGCCTGGGGGTGCACGGATATGCCTCTTTTTATTTCCTGTTTTCTATTTCTTTTCCGGTATTCTTCAATTTTTCTTATAAAAAATAAAAACTATATCTTATCTATCTATATCTACTTCTAGAAATTCCTTTAGATTGATTCTGATATTATGTTAATAAATTGAATAGACTTCTAACTCAATTCGGTTATGTTAGCTTCGGTCATGTTAGCTCACGTAAATACAAGTTATCAGAGCAAATAGTTCACGATGAATACATCAAACTCTAGAAATTAACATGTATCTTATTTTCTTCCTTGAGTCCCTATCTCATACGCTAGGGATTTTGGTTGCACCCTCTATATATATATATATATATATATATATATATATATATATATATATATATATATATATATATATATATATATATATATATATATATATATATATATATATATATATATATATATATATATATATATATATAGTGTGTGTGTGTGTCTGGTATTCATGACGCGTAACGTGTAGGTCTAGCAATAATCCAGATTCGATTCCTATATGTTTCGCTGAAATGCACGGACACGACTACTATCTATAATGCCTAATATTAATTTAGTTTTTCATCCTTTCATTGGTTTCGCCTTTTCTCTGCAAAAATAAAACTGCTTCCCTACTACCTTTTTTCCATTTCCATGTTTTATATTCAGAATTTTTATCTGTGGCTTCTCTTTGCTTCTATCATTTATCTGTTTTTGTTTTTTTATTCTGAACTGTTATCCGCAAGTTACCTAGATTAGCAAATGGTCTAACTAATCAATACGTGAACTGAAATCTCTTAAGTAGTTTGTTGCCTAATTTAACTGAGATCTATTAAGTAGTTTGTTGCCAAATTTAGTCTAAATAAATATAACCCTGTAATCCTCGACCAGGGCTGCCATGTGAAAAATTAGGAGAGGTCTTCCATCACAGTCATCAATGGACAGATCAATTGTTCACACGTCAACAACTAACTACTTGTCGGCTTTAATTAAATACTCCATTCATTCAAAATTATAAGACGTTTTGTCTTTTTTGATTCATAACTTTTGCTACGCATCTAGATATATATTATGTCTAGATTCATATTAAAAGCTATGAATGTAGATATGCCAAAATGTCTTATAATTTTTATTAGAACTATGGATTTTTATGGATCCTCGTGACATTTAACTATTACAACACATGGATAGTAAAATTAAAGTTAATAAGTTATGATAATACGTCTAAATTTTTCCATGCTTTGCATTGGGAGAAAAAATCTATCGAGATTATATTTTAATTCGATATATGTTAATAGGATATTGATATATTATTAGCATCATTAACTTATATTATTGTGTGTGTGCATGTGCGTGTGTACTGTTCATTGTCGTTTTCATAAATATATGATAGTTTTTCTCCCATTGCAACGCACAGACATGTTTTGCTAGTTAGAATAACTACTCAACTTTGGTAGAAAAGACCGATAGAGATAAAGAATAGACATATACATTCCAGTTTGCTAATACACACAATGCTACATTGCATCTGTTCATAAAATATCCAATTCCCCAATGTGCCGAGTGTTGTGAAATCTGCGCCATGACCTAAACCTTGACTTCTTTGGATATGACACCAAAATTGTATGATACCACTTATTCTATACTTACCATAATAACATCCATTTTGTTTGGGATTTTATTGTCGTCATTCTGGTCTATTTATGTAGATTAAACTCAACTTGCATTTATTCTTATGTTTATGAAGGCAACGACGAAATCCTCCCTCTAAACTTCTAAAGTTTGATTATTTATGGCATGTATTTAGGTTAAAATAGAAACGATTTGATCCTATATTTCACATACTTTGAGTATTTTAATGGGTTTTCAAAGCAAATCCTTTACCCATGCCTCCAACTTAATCTAAACAATTCATCCAACCAACACTTTGTTTTCTCCCACTTGACTCGTAGTAAGCAACTTAAGACCAAAACAATTGCATAACCCCCTCTTAAACAATCTAACTTTAGCATAAATCTCAAAAAATATTTGAATTCCAAACAAAGAATAGGAGAACTTTGCAGCTCTATTAGTTGAGTTTATTGTGGTAGAGCTTGCCCACTTCGGCAAGTTCTCAACTTGCACGGGTGCTCTAATTTCCTGAATGTGTTACAATAAGTAATGGTGTGCTTTTTTTTCAATGATAGGTGGCATACCCATCAACAATGAATAATAGGAAAAAAGATATAGTTGAGAAGGGAGAATTCTTGATATGTTATAGTAATTAGGCATGTATCTTTAATGGATGACTAATTGTTAACAAAACATTGATCTTATGAATTTTTATTAACATGGAAATTTGGTAGAATTGAAAGAAGTTTGAATTTCATAATATTCAATGTTTGAGGTAACACAAGTTTGTGATGGAACTTGTTCAGGGATGATGACACAATAGAAATAAAGAGAAAAATATTGTAGTGTGTGGTGTAGAATTTCAGTGTCTTGGAGCACCATTATTTGTAGAGCAGAAGGCCTGAAAATCAAAATGTTTTATAGATGTAAATACTGGGGTAGTTAACAACAAAGGAAAAGGTTAAAAATATGAGATGGTGAAGATATTTTCTATTATGGATTACCTATGTTGTAGCTGAATGAAGGATGTCTTTGTTTGATTGTGGCATGTCATCTTGATTGTGGTTATCTACATGTTTATGGAGCAGGCATTGTACTTGTACTACTAGGCCCTGTTTGTTTAGTTTTGGGTTGTTGAGCTGCGCTATATAGCCTGAGCCGGGGCACCTATCGAGGATGCGGGCCAAGATCCAGTTGGGACGGGCCGAGCTAGCTCAAGTCATTGCAATTGGATCGCTACAGTTTGGGCAACGATACTTGAATTTCCCACCAAGCTATCTCAAAGCTTAACTACTGACTGAACTGTTTGTTTGGGTTGAGTTTGCTCATAAGAATCGTAAGTCGAATGTAGATGCTGATAGTGTAGCAAAAGGTAGCATCTACTACACTAGTCGTAGATTTGTTTGGTTTCTCGTCAGAAGGCGTATATAGAGGTGTGGTGTGTCTCAAAAAAAAAAAAACTGAACTTGTAGAAAAAAGAATAGAAAAAAAACTATATCTGATTAGATACAGCACCCCCTCCGAAGAAAGAACCAAATCGGATCACGGGGGTGGTTGAG